TATTTAAATATTAAGTAAACGTAAAGCTACAAAGTATTATGTTAATCTGTGAGCATGAGATAAGAGGAGATAAATGAAGATGAACTAAAATGAATTAAAAAACAAAGGTTCGTTTTAAACCACATTCTAACTGCCATGCCATTGTTCTGTGATCTTATCTGAGATTTACATTAGACACATAGTTCCTGGCAAAGACATCTAAACTTTCACATAATGCTGGGAAATACAGAGATCTGTGTGGTTACAAAAGTAAAATCCACAGTTTTAGTGCACAATAAAAATATTAACTACAAACATGAGCTCATGAAAACCAGTAAAGAGACTGGCAACTATTACTAGAACAAATAGAAGAATGCAGTTGATGACCAAGGGGGTTGCGTTGCACATGGGTTTCTTTTTCTAAAGAAAAACAGAACCAGAAAAGAGAAGTCCCCCCAGAAAAGAGAAGTCCCCCAAATTGTGCTGAGACCAGGAACAGGGAACCAGCTGCAGCACAGAGGCATGGCGCAAGCGGCCAGGGATGAGAGCAGGGTTGGTTTTGTTCAACGGAACTGGCTCTGGTGTTGGGCCTGTCACGAAGTCAACAGTAAAGTCAGTAGCTCAGCCAGAGGCTAGGGGCTAGTAGAGGAGCAGGTGGGCGAGGTTCTGTGGCCTGTGAGGAGCAGTAGGTCAGACTAGATGATCATGATGGTCCCTCTGGTGGAGGGTCACAGGGCTCCTTCTGCAGTAGAGGTAGCTGTGCCGTTCCCTTTGACCTCATCGTGAAGCCAACGTCTCTGCTAGATCTGCCTGGGAACCAGGCGTATTGACCAGTGGTAGATTTGGCTATCTCAATTTTACTTCCCCTTCTGAAACGAAAACCAAGAGTTTCAAAATGCCCCGTGAAATACGATTATGAGAAGAACTCATCAGCTATGCCAAGAAGGTCACCACAAGGACCCAGCCTGACCTCTGCTGCGACACAGAATTCCGAAAGCCGATCTTTCAGAGAAACATCCTATCTTGATTTTAACATTGCTGGGACAGAGAACCCACCACAGACTTTGGGATGTGGTTCCAACGCTCAATTCCCCTCACCGTTGAAAATTTGCACCTGATTTCCAGGCTGAATTTGTAAAGCGTCAACTTCCAGCCATTGGATCATGTTAGATCTTCGTAGGCTGATGGAAGAACCCTCAATTATCCAATTTCTCTTCCCCCCATAGGCACTGATAAATTGTGATCAAGTCACCCCATAATCTTCTCTTTCTTTATCTCAATAGATCAAGCTCCTGGAGTCTCTCACTCTAGGCAGGTTTCCTACTCCTTGAATCTTTCTCATAGCTCTTCTCTGTCCCTTCTTCAATTTATCAACATCCTCCTGTGAATCTACAGGGTCCATAATTCAAGATTTCGAGGCTTTTCTGACCATCTAGTGCGACCTCCCGTTTAACTCAGAGCTGGGCACAGGATTTCGGTAGCGGTCGAACCAGTGAGTTGAGGGAAATGTCATGTTTTGATGAAATCAGAACAGTTTTGGGCCCAAAAGGGACCCAGATCTCAGATGGCATCATCACTTGAAGATTACCTGTTCTGTTCATTCCCTCTGAAGCACCTGGCATTGGCCACTGTTGGAAGAGGATA